GACGCTCCCTGCAGTCCCTGCATGGGTAGGGTAATGCGTCGTGACGTCACGGCCGCGCAGGATGATGCTTTCTGACGTCACTGCTGTGGCACGGTGATGCCTCGTGAGGTCATTCTTTGATGGTGATGCTTCTGATGTCACTAGCGTGGCGCAGTGATGCCTCGCGAGGTCACTGCCTTGCATGATGATGCTTTGTGCTGTCATTGCTGGGGCACGGTGATGCCTCGCGAGGTCGCAGCCTCTCCTGGCGACGCCTCCTGATGTCACTGTTGGCACAGTGACGCCTCGCGCCGTCACCGTGTCGCGCGGTGATGCCTCCTGATGCAACTGCAGCTGCGCAGGGCGAGCGCGTGGTGCTCGCGCTGCCCAGGAGGGTCCCATGAGGTCGGTGCAGCGCAGCACGGTGATACCTGGTGATGTTATGGTCTGTGATGACATGATGAGGGCTGGGCGGAGCGCGCTGGCTTCTGGAGGCAAAATCCCTGTGGCGCTTTGCTTCGTGCCAACCAACAACAGGCAGCTGTCATGCACGAGCTCACCCCACGGGGCAGCCTGTGCCCGCTCTCCAGGATGGCGGCCCTCATCTTCCCCTGGAGGCTGCATCCACGTGCCCATCCTCCATTCACACCGTCCCACCGGAACCAGAGGTCCCAGCAGGGGATCCCAAGGCTCCTGCTTTGTTTGAACAACACAGGGTCACGCTCAAGACTCCCCCTGCGCCCAGCCCCCCCAGCACGACCCCTCTCCCCTGCGCGGGATGGCAGATTGCTTCCTAGATCCGTCAGCGGCCTCATGGTTTCTCTCTCTTGCATCCAGGCACTCTGCTACTCTCCGTCCCATCCCGCAGCCCGGAGGTGTCACCTCGCCTTCGTTCCCCGGGCTCTAGAGCAAACTGAGTTGCAAGCCATGACATCTCCTCTCTCCTCCCTGGGAAAGCATCGCAGAGTCCCGCTGCAGCTCCAGAGTCCGGGGTAAATGAGGCGTTACCTTTGCTGTACACAGCGTGGGAGCTATTGTTTCTTTTGCAGTTTCCATCCCAAGTGCTTCTCTTAAATGTGATAATCGGGGCACGAGGGACAAGTGCCTCCGGGCCAACAGATTCTCTCATAATACGCTTCACAGTCACAGGCTGCATGGTGTAAACATTTTTGAGGCCTTCCTCTACCCTTGACCTTCAGGGTGCTGAATCAGTGCCCGCTGGAATCAGGGGAAGTTAAGGATTCTCCAGCCCATTAAGCATTTCACAGAATAAGGCCCTTCAATCCAGGGCTGATAAGAATAGAATCTTAGCTAGTTAACGGCAGGGAAAATCCTGGGATCCTTCATTCTGCTACAGGAGGTATATCGCACGCAGCCTGGAGCATTGCGCCTCTTACCTCGCCCTTTCTGTGACCTGAAGCAGCTAACCCTGGTGCCAAGCAGCAATTTCAACTCCTAAGCTGCCCTAATTTTGTTCTCTGTGTGAGCACTCACTCATAGCAGGGGGGAAAAAAGCGAAGTGGACTGCTTGGATTTGGATCAGTGCCACAAAAGGATAAGAGCATGTAGGCAGTTGTATTGTAAGACACATTTCATTGCAATTTCCAGGGCTGTTACTTCTAAGCCATATCACACAACAAATCATTCATCTGCCTGCTCTATGTTTTTACAAGATCCCCTCTTTATTCTTGCAGGAAAAAACCTGAGCCAGCTAAACAGAGTGCCTGCAGTGGTGAGTTAAGATCTTATTATCTTCGAATCCTAGAAAATGAGGGTGGGAAGAGACCTCAGGAGATCACATCTAGTCCAACCCCCTGCTCAGAGCAGGACCAGCCCCAAGATCTTATGGGCTGTGCACTCATCTCTATTTTTTCTAGTTCTTGCCCCCTTTTTTCTCTCTCCTTCCCATGTGCCGCTGCTCAGAGCGATGTGTGGTTTCCACATCCTTGCAAGATTTAGAACAAGTTAGATCTCTCCAGTGATTACTAGCTCTTAATTAGACTGTGTCCCCATATTTCCCTTTCCCGGTGCTAATAGTTTTCTTTGTGTCCCTCCTTGAAACTCACTTCTGTGCAGCTCATAAGTGTTGATCCTTGTCCATGTAATGCTATTGGCAGTTTGTTACTAAAACTTGACCCTGCCATTTACCTCCTTCAATCCATCTGCACATCCCCTCCACCCAACAAAAAGATGCTTTGCCTTGGCATCACAGTCTCTATCCCAGTACAGTTTGGTGTTTGATCTTCATTTAGACTGAAGGCTTCTTGGGGCCAAGGCAGCAGGCAGGCTAAATTGCTCCTAGCTGGATTCTGACCCCTTTGCTTCAGACTGTAATCTAGATCCCTTTCTTCTGACAGCCAGCTCCTGGCTTGTGGCTTAGTTTGGTGATCGCCCACTTCCTGGTCCCTTACAGCTACAGCTGACTGCTCCAGACCTCCTGTCCTGGACCCACTTTTCTTGTGGCTGTATTGTGATGACCACCTATATTTCAGTCCCTGCTTCTGATCGTCTGATTCATAGCTTCCTTCCTGACCTTGTCTGCTTCTGATGCCTTGGGTTATGACCTTCTAGGTGAAGCCCTGTCCACCTGCAGCAGAACTATATCTTCCTTTGGCTCTTGGACTGTAGTGAGCAGTACAGTACAAGATGCCTGGTTAAATCCTGATGCTCGCCCCTTTGAGAGCATTTGCCTGGGGTGAGTTGGGGTCACACCACTTTCCCTAATGACAAGACGTGCTTGCCAGTACATACTGGGTCAGACCTATGGTCCATTGAACCTAGTATCCCAGCTTCAACGGTGGCAGGGGTGGATACTTTAAAGGAAGAGAATTGTACCAGATACCTATAGAATGATCTATCCCCTATTTCCTGGCATCTGAGGAGTTTAGAAGGTGCATTTAAAGATTTGACCTAGCTTTTTCTTGCTTTCTCTCTTTGTCTCTTCTCAGAGGATGAAGCCACATTGCTGAATGACATCCTGCCTCCTAGGACAAACGATGCCTTGCCAAGTGAATCCCCTTCCTGTTCAAAGGGAAGAGCAAAAGCGAGCAAACATGGTAATGATGTACCTCACAGGACAAGAGTCACTGAGCTATAAGCTAGAGCTTGCATGTGGCTTACCCAGTGAAAGTCCTTGGACTCAGCACTCATACCCAGAGTGATTAGTCCTCGATTCACATGCCCAGATGTGACAGTCAGTGTTGATGTCCCAGGAACACACACACACAGTGCCTGCTCCAAAGGCCATGTATGCACCAATCATGGCCACAGAAGGATTCATGCACAGCACTTACAGGAAATCCATTCATGCAGCTGGAAATGGCAAATCAGGTTCTTTTACTGAACCTTCAACTCATGTAATGGGGCACTGGGTGATCATAAGGGTATTTTTTGGTTGAATTATTCAGAAATAAGATTTTTGGATGCTGTGTTGGACTTCTGCTTTCAGGGGAAGCTCCTACTGACATGGAACTCATGTCTACCATGATGCAGAAAATTATTAAATTGGAACAAAAAGTTAGGAGCCAAGCCCAAGAACTCCAGCTGAAGGTAAAATTGCCAGCCTGGTCGGGGTCACAGTGTGAGCCACAATAGGCAGGACCACATTCGGGTCTAGTTTGGGCTAAGGCAGTATAATCTGTAGACAAGGCTTTTGTTCTAAGTACAGAAAGCATCCACTGCAGAAGCACAACTGCTGCCTTGTCAATGCGGTTTGGAGGGAGGGGAGGCACTAAAGGGTTGAACCTGCTGTCATCCTCAGTAAAAATGAACCGCAATGATTGAATTTGCTAATGTCAGTGACTCTTCTGCTTTGGATGTTTCTTTTCTTCTCTTCATTTTACAAGATCCAAATAGATCAGAAAGCAGAGAGTCGCCCTACAGCAAACTTCCCCCATAGCTAAGGCCCAGCTGCCATTATCGAAGCTGTTGGGTAAATTGCATCTCCAGCAGTTAGAAGGCTCTACTGCAGACCTTCTAACCAAGATCATGGCTCTGTCTTTCTGTCCCACATCTGCAGGACAGGAAGATTGCTGATCTCCAGGGGAAGGTGAAGATCCTTCAAAAAGGGAAAGGTAAGGTCCAAGTTTATGCCTGCATCTGCTGCTGAACTGCAAGCTGCAGTTTGCTGGCGCAGTGCTCCCTCCCTCTCACCCTGACCTGCTTTTGTTGCAGCAGTGCATTCTGGCAGTAATAGTAACGCTGGCAGTAAGACAGTTTCAATGCTATTTCACTGCTTAAAAGTGGTCAGAAACACAAATATGCCAGGCTTCAGATTTAAAAGTGACTGAAGAAGCCAGCTGTATGTTTACTGAAAGCCTCAAAGGATCTTCCTGCTTTGAAAGAGTCCCTTGTCCTACAGGTCGCTTTCTTCAGCTCATGCTCTTTGCAGTTTTTTGGGATTCAGCAGTCATCTTTAGCTGAGCCCGGATGCCTTTTTCTGCAAGAACATGACACCCTTGTAAACCAGCATTGAGGGCATGATCTACTCAGGAAGCAGAGAACAAAAATATTTTTGTCAAACCACAAGCAGCATTTATAAACATTGTTGTATGTTGTTGCACCAGTTCGTCACTGCCTAACTGATCCTGTTTCATTGTGCGACTTGCCGATGTCTGAGTAGGTTCCTGGATATTGGGAGGGTCAGTCAAGCCACCTTCAGTGTATCACTGCATGCGGCACCAATCATGCCAGAAAACCCCAACTCTTACCCTAAATGCCTGCCAAGTAAGTCATTTAGTCTGTGCATCTTATCAGCTGTGACCCAGCTGGAACAGTCGGGGACAGACAAGTAGGCAAAGAGGTGCCACTCAGCTTCTGTGCTTCACAGACTTGTTCAGCTGTGGCCTAGTTAGGTGTGACATTACTGATCTCAGTCCTTGTCTGAGGCTTATTGTAGCAAAAAGGAGGAATCTCAGGTCTCTTTCTGTCTTTCCCCAGAGGACTCCCCTGAGCCAAGCCAAGTAGAGAAGCTGGAAGTGATGTGCCTTCAGCTGCAGCATCAAGTCTGGGAAATGGAGGTGAGGCCCCCGACCTCTCCCCTCTCCTCCTAGGTTTTGAGTGTTATAGTCTTTCACTCCAAAGATATTTGGTTCTTATTAAACCACCAATGAAATTACTGCCAACTGTTGGTGCCTGCCTGGGTACAGAGAAGACAAGTGGAAACACCTTTAATCCATTTCCTAGCCCCCTGGCCACTCCTCTTTTCACATTTTCAAGCCATTTTGACATCTGCTTTAACAGTCATAAAACAAAGAGTTTGGCAGTCCTAACCATGCCTTGCTCCCTGAAGCAGCCTGGGAGGCTTCCCAGCCAGCTCAAAAACAGATTTCAGAGATTTTAAGGTAAGAGCATCTTGCCTGACCTCCTCTACTTCACTGGCCATTACATCTCACTCAGTTATTCTGGTAGTGAGCCCAGTTACTTGGGTTCAAATAAAGCCCCCCTCTCAGAAAGGCATCCAGCTGTGATGTGAAGATCTCACAAGTACAGGGAACCCTTCACTCACCTGTAAGGATGGATTGCAGCAACTCATATTGATCGCAGCAGCTCACAGTGACACTGCCAAGATCTAGGACAGAAAGTGAAGAACCATTACTTAGTCAAGCAGAAGCCCTGGGAACAGTGAATAATACAAGCACTACTTTGTGTATTGACTCCCTTCACCCAGGGCTCCCATAATGCTTTACAAAAGCAGATCAGCATTGCCCCTATTTTGCTGCTGGAAAAGCATCACTGGGGGGGTGAGCAAGCTGCTTGAGTCTGGACTGCAAGTCTAGCTCTTGATACATGCTTGGCCGTTCAGTGTGGAACTTCAGCGCACTTCTCTATAATACCTGTTTCTGACTGTGAAAGCTACATCTCACATCAGCATCTGTGTACCCTGGTGATTAGAGCAGAGCACTAGGACTCCGGACCCCTGCCTTCTCTCCCTAGTGCTGTTACTGATCTGGCTTTGTGAGCTAGTTTCCTGGCTACCTATACTTTTCCTTTCCAGTCTGTGCAGTGGAGGCACCAATCCTGACCTTGCTCACAGGGTCTATCAATGAATGTTTGGGATGTTCTTTGAAGGCCTAGGGAGGAAGGAGCAAAGTAACTACAGATCATTGAAACACCCCCGCTTAGCAACATACATTTCAGTAGCTTTCATATGCACCTGCGTGGGCCTCCTCTGGTCTTTTCCTCTTGATATGCATAGCTGCATTTTTGTTTCCGTTCCTTCTTTTGCTCTCCCAAGTGACCTGCCTGGCTTAGGAGAAGCAAAGTCCTTGCAGTGATCAGAGGCTTGGGAGACTGGGTCCTGTCCTATATGTCCAAGGCATTCACAAATAAATGGCTCCAACCACAAGCATGGGAAAGAGTGCTGCCGGACAGTATATACTGTCCACATAAATTAAGACTATACTTGCATTGGCAGATTCAACAGAAAGTAACTTAAGATTCATACTTGCAGATTCAAAACGTTCATGTAGCTTACCCCTGGTCCGCACAGTCGAATTCATACAGCTTTGCACACTCTATGCCACTGTTCTTGCTCCATCAGGATGTCTGTTACAAGGTCAAACACTCCCACTGGGAAGCACCTACTTCCACCTCCACTGTTGGCAGTGTATCCTCCAGGTTCCCAGCCTTTTATAGTGCCATGGTGCTCAAACTAGCCCATCCTCTTTTCTGTCCCCACTACAGCAATTTTTGAATGACTATGGATTGATCTGGGTTGGAGAGAGGAATGAGGAGCTGGAAGATTTGGAATCATCAGGGAAGAAGGCCAGTTGGCCATTGAGGGTTTTCTGGAAGCCAGGTAAAGCCACAGTGCCCTCATTTAAGGCAGACAACCCGCCCATCACAAAACACTCAGAAAAGGCACAAAATTCTCCAGTATGGTCAAATAGGGAATCGCAGACTTACCAGTCAGCCAGGCTCCTGCCCCAGAACTTCTCTGGAACGGTCACAGGCTATTGTGCCAAGGCTAGTGCAGAAGTCAGTCTGTGGGCCGTTGGTGGTAAGATGTGGCAGCACCTACAGCAAGGGCAAAGATGCTCAGTGAGCAGGCGGCCTGATACAGAGATGAAAGAAGCTTAGCTGTCAAGATAAAGCTGGTTGCAGGTTGAGTCAGATAGCTCCTTAAAACGCTTTGGTGCTCAAGTCCTTGCCTGTTGTGATTATGATTTCCCCATGGAGATGCTGAGATCCCCCTACTACTTTGTTTCAGGAGAGAGGAGACTGTGCATCATAACCCAAAGAGGTCCCAGAACACATGTATTTTATGAACCCTGGTGGAAACAATCTGGAGGAAAGTCTTCCATAGCTGCCGGCTTGAGGTTTCCCTGAATGTCAGCTTGATTCTGATTTCACATAACCCAACATAACTGGGTGTGAGAATCAGGCTTGTTGCAGAATAGAATAGAAGTACTTTAATATAAATGCAACAACTCATCCATGCTTTCAGATCCCATCAAAATGCCTTTTCTCTTCCCTCGAGCACCTGCATGATCAGTTCTGTTGGGAGCAAGTAACACCGTGTTGACTCCTGTAGTATTTGGTGCTGGGAAGTGGCAAGGCTGCTTGTCACAACCACTTAATGCAAGGGATATGGTATCTGAAGAGCAGTAGGTGTGAAGCAGAACCTCTGTGAACTAGCATGTCACTTTACTTGGTCTTATTTACAGTTTTCTCTCATTGAGACTGGGCTTCTTTTTCCTATTGAGGACCTTTGAAAAAAGCAGAACAGAAAAGGTGGCCTCTCCTCTGCCTTCATTGGCTCTCACTTCCTCTTCTAGCTTACTTCTCCCCCACCCTTATCTTCACACCCCCACCACTCCCCTGCAACTTCGTGTCCCCTCCTCCCACCCTCCTCTTCAGCAATCCAGGAGGTAGGGCAGGCTGTGCTGGCAACAGGCTGCAGGGACCGCATGTAGTCAGGCAGCTGGGCTTCCATCGGCTTTTCCTCTGTGAGCTTGAGCTGTGCAATTGAGTGCAGGTGGCCAGCTAGATCAGTGGGTCTTGTACAGCACCAAGTGAGGGGACAACACTCAAGTGTAAAAGCAATTTGGGGTGAAAATGGCCTCTGAGAAGAGCAGGCTGTCACAGCCTGGCAGCAGAGCTCATTTGTAGCCAAGGAACTGATTCTTCTGCCTCCTTTGCTGCTCTATTAAGCCCCCTTGCCAAATGGCTGAGAGAGGCTGCCATGGCATCCTGCTCATTCACTTTGCAACGCCATGACTGAGCAGAGTGGGGTGGGAAGGAGCCAGGCCCAGGGGTCAGGGGTCAGACATGTGGGCACCGAGCTCAAGCTCAGTGCTTGTCTCCCCTCCTTCGCTAACTCTGCTCTCCTTGCTGCAGGCGACTCGACTGGCCCAAAACCCCTGATTGATTTTGATCTAATTTTGGAAAACCTGAAGGATTTAAATGTGCTGGCAGGGGAGGGTGTGTCTCAGATCCAGCACACAGCGGGAGGTGCCAGACTGAGGGAGCCCGAATCGGTGTCTCTTACTCTCTATAAGAACGGGATAGTGATGTTCAATGGGCCCTTCCGGTCATACGAGGAGCCATCCACACAGGTACAGATGAATTCCTAGAGACGGCCCCCACCCTGCCGGTCCAGAGTGCCCTCAGCAAGTGCTGGGGGAGGGTGACCGGCAAATGTGGAGCTCGCTCAGTCACTCTCCACCCCATCTCACGCCCTCCATAGGCACTTGGTGAGGACTGATGGCTGTTGGGGGGCTCCTAGTTTCTCCCCATCTGAGTTCTTGTGGAGCCTGTTGCAGACACCAAGGCTATTCTGTGCCAGTGCAGCACACAGGCCAGCCCCACAGGCATAGGCCTACGCACTGGGGGTTTCCATCTGAAACTGCAGCCTCTTAGTTTTCATTCTAAGAGAGAATGAGAGCCCTGGAGGGGTAGAAATACTGGGCTTTGAGGCCTTTCTGCTTGGTTTCAGCAATGTCTGCGGGATATCCTGGATGGCTACTTCCCCTCCGAGTTACAGGCACGCTACCCAGCTGGTGTGCCATTCCAGGTAAGACAAGCAGCTGTCTCAGGGGAGCAACACCCTCTAGACGAGCAGCCCTGAAAAGGGAGGCTGGTTGCACGACCCCAGCCCTGCAAGGCTCTCTCTCAGCAAATTTGCTATGGTGTTTTTACACCACCCACGCTGCTGAGCAGCTAGGCCCCAAGGCAACGCCTGGGAACGCACCTACTTCCCTCGCTACAGGAAACATCCGTGACACCAAGTGCTCAGTCTGCTTCAGTGAGTCTTGAGTTAAAAAGAGGCAGAAAGGGGGAAGAATTGGGGGAGCAGCTTTGGGTGCATAGAAAGCAGCTGCACAGGATACCATACCTCAGACCATCTTGTTGAGACATCTAAAATTAGGCAAGCCGTCCCTCTGGAAGAGACGCTTCGGTGCAACGTGCTTCACTCAAAGCCACCATGTTTGGCAACTGCAGCAGTCACAAGTCAAGTGTTGGGCAGAGGCTGCAGCGAGAATACAGTGAATGTGCTCTTCCACTTCCCCTCCCAGTGAAGAGCCACTTTCTGCAAAAGAGGAAGCAGCTTATGCAGAACAAGCCACTCCTGGCTGGGTTCAAGGCAGGTAGCAAATGCGTGCAAGGCTGGAGGCCTGCTGTGCTCTAGCGCAGATCTGTACTGCAGCCACAAGAGGGATTGCAGTGGCTTGGACCTCAGCACAGCAGGCTTCCAGTGTGCTTGTGTAGCCCCTGTGTCACTGCACTTCTACTGTTACCTATCCCAGCTAGATTTAAGCCAGGATAAGTGTGCCCCTGCCCAGTCCCCTGGGTCACATCTGCTGCAGCATATATTTGTTGAGAGTCAAGAGGCACCATGGAGCTGCTGACTTGAGGGGAGACAGGTCTGAATTCATTTGGCTGGAGGAGCCAAATTGAACCTATGTGGTTTTCTGACCCGAGGTGTCTGTGGCTGCCCCCAGCTTCAAAGCCATTACTGCCTCCAGGCTTTTTACATCCTGTTTTGTTACCATGGCTGAAGGCTTTGTTGTGATCTGATGCAGCACGAGCAGGGACTTGCTGGTGCCTGGGGCTGCTCATGGCCTCTGGCGTTCCTTTGACAGGTCACCGACAAGAGAGACATTTTCTTTCGGGATAGGCAGCTTCCAGAGAGCTTCCCTGGCCAGGGCCAGAGAGTTGGCCACGCAAAGCCAAGTGAAGTCCAGGAGACCAGTGAGATCCCAGGTGAGTCTTCAGCCATGTCTTCTGTGCCCTGGAAATGCCACGGTGCTCCCAGAAAGGAGGAGAAACAAGCCCGGCTGATAAGCAGCTGTGGGTGAGGGTCTCTGAGCGGTACAGCTCAGGGCAGTCTCCCAGCGAGAAGAAACAAACGTTTTTAAAGAATTTCAAGAGCAATGTCACAAAAATGCCCCCGAATGCTCAGTTTTCCCAGAACACCCAAAACACACATCCTTCCATGGTCACACCCACGGCTCATTCTCAGCAGAGCTTCTCCCCCATCCTGCCAGAGAGCTGTTCAGGGTTCAGTCCTATTGCACATCGCTCATGGAGGTGAGGATCTCCTCACCCAGGCGCCAGCGTCCTCTTTGCCACTCCAGATGCGACACGGTGCCTCTGCTCCTTGGTGGGGGCAGGCCTGGCCTGTAGGACCAGGCCACATGTTCCTGCTTTTCCTTCTGGATTCGAGAAATCTGTTCCAAGAGTCACTAAAACAGCCCTCAGGGACTGACAGTTCAGCTGTTCTGGTGAGGTCTTGGTACATCTGGTCATGGGTGTTTTTTCCAGCCCTATTTTCTATGTTCACATCCTCCCCAGTGGTGGCACGTAGTGCATCGTGTATGATATATTCCCAGCTAGCTGCATACAGCCATATAACCTGTGCACACGTGAGTCTCATGTATACTGCCATTTAACATACTGGCTGTGAGGGGTTGTTGGTTTGAGTCGTTTGCCACTTCATAAAACAGCTCTTTCCTAGGCATGATTGTAATGAGCCCATGTCACAGATAATTCTAGCATAAGCCATGGTGCCTGAGGTGGTATAATACAATCAGGATTCCCCTCTCTATTGCTGGCAAGGCCTCTCTTCCCCCACGTGACTCTAGCTGGATGGGGTTTAACTCATGTGTCACTGGTTCTTCCCAGAGCAGAGGAGGGTTCAGTGTGGACTTGAGGGTTCAGCCAACACGGAGATGATCCCACTCAACTTCCAGCTCCAACAAATCAGCCTTTTCAGATGCAAAACTCTTCTGTCCAGACATCCCCACCTCCCTCTGGAGCACGCAACTTCCTCTCTCCTGCAGGTCCCAAGCTCTCACTGGAGCAGTTCCTGAACAAGCTTCCCAGGTCCGTGATCCGGGACGGACACGTGATTGATGTGCGAGGGTCCATCAAAGCAACGCTGCAGGTATGATGGACTCCCTGGTGTGCCCAGGCAAGAGCACACACCTGATGCCACAGACCATGCATTGCATCAGTGTGATGGCAGCAGCTTTGGGCCCTGTCCTCTGAATGGCCTCCGCTTTGTGCAACTTCCTGGTGTTAGAATAGGCTTCGCTAGAGGGCACCAGACACCCTTTCACCTGCCCCATGAGCCCCTTCCACAGCCACATCACACCTGCCAAGAGAAAAGCTGAGCTGCTGTCTCAGGGGTCAGATCTAATCCTTGGCATCTTCCTCATAAGGGAAGCAAGTCCCTGCCCCAGACAAACGGTGCTCTTACTCTTCATTTCAACCAGCCCCTTTGGATGTTGTTTTATTGGCTTAAAAATCAAGTGTCAGACTAGAAGAAGCTCCAGCCCCAGCTCACAGGAGTTTATTAAATAATTATTGCAATGCTTCAAAGCCATAATTAACCTTTACCAAAGAGCCCAGCTTGCCTCACCAGGTGTGGTGAGCATGGAGGCCCTGAGGAGTGTGAAGGCCATCGATACGGTAGCAATACAGGGCTGGGTAAGCTTAAGCCATTGGGTTTGATGGGGGGAGAGAGAGCCTGGCTCTGAGCTGCGGCAGAGAACAAGGAATATCTTAAGCCAGGATGATGGTACCTAATGCTCACCCTTTCCCTTTCAGGGGTCTAAGAGGTCACGTGGCAGCGACGTGATCCTGGTGGAAACACCTGCTCTCACAGCAGCAAAGGAGAGGTGAGGGCTCTCTCCACCTTTATGAGCAGGGCTCTCACAGGCTTCTGGCCTGTCCACGCGCATGCCATGGGGACCTGCAAGGAAGCTCCGTAGGGGTTGGAACTTGCTCCTCTTCACTGCTTTACAATGGGTAAAGAGGAAGGGAGAGCTGGGCCTTCAGGGCTGCTGCTGCTGCCTGTTTCCTCCTTGAGAAACAACCACCAGGCCAAGCCCAGCCCTTCCTGGCTTTGAGAGGCTGCACAGTTACCAATGACAAGCCCTGGCTCTGGTGTTGCATAGCAAACACTGGCAAAACTCAAGGAAGTTGAAACTCCCTGCAGTTGCTTCCGCTGCTGGGCTGCTATGTGCTGGCCCTCAGACTTGCCCCCAGGGCTGAGCTGAAGGGGGGGGGGCGGGGAATGCTGTTCCACCCACATGCCTCATCTCCCTACACTGACGTGCCTGGGCTGGCCCAGACCTGACTGCAGAGATCTTGGGTTCAAGCAACAAGCAGAGCAGCCCTTGTCCCAGGCAGCTCATCCCATCACGAAGCAGCAAAAAGGGCTCTGGGCTGTTGTGCAGGTCACCTTCGCAATAGCCGAGCCCAGAAGTGGGTGGTCGGGCAGCAGAGGGGCTGGAATCCCTGTAGCCATCAGGAAGCCTGGACTGTCTCCCAGCAGCTCCCTGCTTCCCTTGGTCACTCAGTGGGTTTGATGGCCTGTTCTGCCTGGCCCGCTTCACCCCAGCTGGCCACGTGGCTCCGTGCCGTTGCTGAGCCACCATTCTCTAGCTCACTGGCATGTCTGGCTTGCAGGCTGAAGGCAGCGGACCCAGACCAGCCTCCTGCGCCCGGTGTCTGTACGCTCCGGGTCAGGTCGGAGAGCGGGGAGCAGTCGTACCTTGTGAAGATGCTGTTCACGGAGACCATCGGAGATCTGCGTCGGCACCTCACTCAGAGCCGGTGGGTGCCCCCGACCTCCAGGAGGGAATTTGGTCCCTTGGCTCTGTTCCCCTGCTCACAGGACCCAATCCTGTACAATACTATGGGGAATTGAACCTACTCGCCGTTTCCCTGGCAGCCCTGAGGGTGCTGGGATCAGCCCCAGGGTCTGATTAAGCTCCCCCGTCCCCAGGGAACTGAAGCTTCAGTGGACTCCCCTTCCACTAGACCCTTTCTGCTCACTCCTGCCCCTGGTTCTGGACAGTTCTGTCATTGCCATTTCTCCCCGCCCTGCCCCTCTGCAACCCTCCCCGAGGCACCACTGCCCCTTGCCCAGGGCACCCCCAGTTCTCCACATCCTGGCGTGGACCAGTGCTGTGGTCTGCCTGCTGGCATGGGAGGACAGCTGCCCACCCTGGGCCCAGATGCTCGTTAGCTCTCAGCCCCTTTAGTTACAAGGCTGGTCAGAGCTGCCTTGCTGCTTATGCTCGTCACCGAGCAGCTCCAGCTGGGCCGTCTTCCCCCTCTCCTTTCCCTGCCCCATGTTTGTCCTGCCTCATGAGCTCAGAGCTGTCACCAGCTGGAACAGCCACATGGGGCCTGGCCCGAAAGCCACTTCCTGCCCGGCTGTGCCCCCAGCACACTTGCCCTGCTTGTGCATCACCCCACAAGGCCCCTGGGAGCCAGCTCACAGGAAGGGCAATACTGTTCTCTCCTAGGCACGGCAGCTCCAGCTCGTACGAGATCATCAGCACCTTTCCCCCACGGGTGTACACAGATGACGCCCTCACCCTGCAGCAGTGCGGCCTCACCCCTGCCGCCTCACTCCTGCTGCGGGAAAGCAGCCCAGGCAGCCAGGCAAGACAGGGCTGCAGCTAGGCGAGCCCACCCGGGCTGCGCTGCCAAGCGCTGTGCTGTCCTCTCCACCCCGCTCCCTTCTCCAGCCGGGCCCGGCTGGCTTTGGCAAGAGGAAGGAGCAGCTTTGTACCGTGGGCTAAGTGGCTGCCTCTCCCTGCGCAGGTGGGAAGGCTGGGCTGTGTCCTACCTTGGGTTCACTGCTGAGTTACTTCCTGGAAGGGAGGCTGGGTTGTGGGGAGAGACCTCCAGGGCCACAGCCCTGCTGAGAGACCTGGGACAAACCACGCGCTGCCAGCCTAAGAAACTCACCCTTTGGTACACAAGCGCCTGTCCCAGCCAGCCTGGTACCTGGTGGGATTCAGATCCACGTGTCGTCCAGGCACAGCTCTGGCTCCTCATCACCTCTGCTGCGGGTCACACAAGCTGTTCCCCTTCAGACAATGCCATGGCACAGACCCTTGTGCCTGCTGCTGCCGCCTGCGTCAGGGCCCTGCTGGGCCCATCCTGCAGCCCTCTCAGTGGCAAACATTTGCATTCAAGCAGGAGTGAAATGCTGCAAGGCCAGCCTCTGTCTCCCACCCTGCTCACACCAGTGCCTGAAATGCTTTGTTCTGAGGTCAGCAGAGTTAAAGTCAGACTGAGCCAAAGCAGGCCAGCCCTGAGCCAAGCCCAGCCCCCTCCAGCTAGAAGGGCCCAGAGCTGTTTCCTGTACACAAGCAAATCCTTCCTTACTATATGGGGCCTATTAAAGGCACTGCGGTTACCAGGCTGCAGGGCTGAGCCAGGTGCCCACGGCCCTGAGCACTATCCCCAGCCTCAGGAACCTGGTGACCCCAAAACCCTTTCAAAGCAAGCCTGAGCCAGAGGGACAAGCCAGTCCCTGCACCTACTGGCCCATCAGTCTGCACCATGCAGGATCCAGCCCCCCTGCACCTTTCCCATGTAGAGCCACCTCGCCCCCCACAGTAATCCCAGCCCCACACACCTCTTCCCAGGCCACATCCTATGTCCTGCTCCTGCATGCTGCGCTCTGGGCGCTGCGCCCCATGCAGCAGTGCCCTCGTCCTGTGCTCTCTAGCGTGCCGCACCCTCTGATCTCAACCACTTTGGAGAGGCTCGCTGTCCATTAACTTTCACCCAGCACTTAGGGACATGGTGCCAAGTTGGGCAGCCTCAGGCAGCTTCTCCAAGCCACTCAGCACAGCTGGCTGGGAGCCTGGGAGGTAGCTTGCAGGTAGCTAGAAAGGAGCAAAGAACCATCCCAGCCCTGCCCACAGCAAAGCCAGGAAAGTAGATTACACGCCTCCTCCAGCTTAGGCCACAACACAAGCCCCCTCCGCCCTGCGGGGTGACAAAAGGGATCCCAAGGTAGTTTTTGCTCATGTTACGTCACAGGGGCCGCAAGCATTTGAGGGGGGTCAAGCAGCCTCCTTGGGAGCTGCCGACGGATCCCAGCTCTTGAAACCCGCGATGGACACCTGCCGCAGCAGCGAGCGGAAGCATCAAGGCCTCCGTGCCAGGCTGCCGCAGCGAGCTGGGAGTGACTCAGAATTGCTAAGCAGGGCGATGTCAAACCTTGAGCCAAAATAAAGGGACCCTGGACAGGCTGGCCGGGAGCCGCAGGAAAGGTTTAGTCACGTTTTAATAGCGTCTCGGAAGACAACACCAGTTATAAACTTGCTTTTTTTTGGCAGGAGAACAAATGCACTTGGTCCAGATTGCAAGCTGCCCTGGCACGGCCGGAAAGGCTGGAGGAACAACTTGCCAGAGCAGCCCCCCGGGGCCAGGGGTGGCCCTGGGGAGCTGCAGCATCACATCGTGTTGGTACAGGAATGTGCTAACGGAGCCGTGTGGGTCCAGCCTCGCTGCCCGCTCGCGGCATCCCCTGGCCCACGCCCTCCCGAGACCCCGCTCCCACCCCGCGGGCGAGGAGCAGGTCCGACCCTAGCTTTGCGCAGCGCATCTGCATGGAGGTGAAGCCGCCCAAGGGCAGCCGGGCTGCCAGGGAGGAATGACAGGAAGCGAGGCAGCAGCTTTGCGTTTGCACGCTGCAGCTGGACTAAAACGCAAGAGGTAACAGGCCGCCCCGGCCCTTCCCTCGCAGGGGAGAGGGGCCAGGCTCAGTGCCCTGCTTTCGGCGAGGCACCACAAGCTGCGCGGAGCCCAGGCGCGCTCGAAGCATCGGCGCTTCGCCAGGTCCCCGGGGCACGCGGCAGGGTGAGGGCAGCGGGGAAGGAGCAGGCGGTCCTGGGGAGGGGGAGGGCGGGGGCTCAGGCCAGCTTCAGGAACTGCTGCAGGACCTTCTGCTCCACCGCTTCCACGAAGCCCTCGTAGTCCTGCGGGCGGGAGGAGGAGAGGTGGGTCAGGCGGGGCAGGGGCAGGGGCAGGGCTGCGCGCCCCGCCGC